CACGCCCAAGGATCTCACACTTCTACCTCCAAATAAAGAGTGATGGATTAATGTTTCTTTATTTATAAATCTTTATCGGCACCAATACCTCCTGTACTATCTTATGGGAGAATTCATTTTTTTTTTCAGATGCGGTGCAAAAACTGAGCAAAAAACACTTTCTTCCAGATCAAGTCACCGGGAATGATCAGAAAAAAAGGTACCGAGACGTTTAGAGTTTCTGTGAATATTATCCTAAAACGTACTGCATTCTTCTTGACACAAGAAACAAATAAATGAATAAAATTATAAAACAAATAAAATAAAACATACAGGAGAATGAGGAAACACATAAAATTTAAATTGTAAATGAATGTTATATATACATGATGAGTACTTGTGAGCACTACTAGATCTAATTTAATTTTTCTTTTTTATTTGCAGTAAATAATCTGAAAGAAAAAAATGCTTCAAATTATTTCACAATGGTTTATTATTTCCAGACAATTATACATCTGAAGTAACATTACCTTCCTAGTGACAATGAAAAAGAAATAAAATATGATTCCAATTATTGGACTAAACTTTATTTTTTTTAGGCATTGGTAATATGCTAACAAAAATTAGCATTACTTCAGTAACACATTCAAAAATCAAAAACCAAAACAAAGGATATAAACATCTAGAGACCATATCTTTACTCCTTATAGCTCGATTTTAACGATTTTTTTTTTTTTTAGGTAATTCTGAAAACTTTTAAATGACCTACTTTCTTCATTTTTTTTTTGGAAATTTCAATACCTTTGAAACATCGTATCACAATATCGACAAAAAAGTGTATAATTTTTGGGTTATTGGGAATCTAATTTTAAAAACTTTTTTTCTAACTTCTTTTCGTTGAAGTATGGTATAGATGAATTTAAAGGGCATTGAGAAGAAGACTTAGCGAAGTTTCATTGAAATCGGTACATTCGTTTAGGCGCTACAGTCTATAGCAACGCAGGTTTTTCGGTCGCCATCTTGAAAGGAAAAGGCGGATAGAAATGTGATGAAGGAGGACCATCCTGGGGTGATTTCTAATTTTAAATCCAAATTTGAAAAAAAAAAAAAAATCGGTCTAACCAGTAGTTTTGGAGAAAATGGGCGGACGGCGGAAGGCGGACGGACAACAAAATTTTTATTGGTTTTTCGAATTCTACATATCCTGAAACGTAAAACCTCAACTTTTGAGAGGGGGTTAAGTTTTTGAATTTGTTGTTCGATCACAATGGTTCATTATTGAAAATAATTAACAAAAAAAGAACCTATATAAGTTTATGCTTTAGTTCTAGGGTTTACAAAAATCTTGATACGTGCTTACAAATAGCAGCTGAAATAATTGTGTTGTGATTAAATAAACAGTACAGATTTTGATTGTTTAAAAAAAAAAAAAAAGTCTAAAATCTAGCGCAGGTCATTTACAGAAACAAATATGGACCAATACAAAAAAAATTATTATTCAATTTTGAAGGGACTTCTACATGATCCACCTCCCTCGCCTTCGTAATCCTACCACTCCATGTGACTGAACAACATCCAAAATTAATGTGAAAAACAAAAGAACCAATCATTAAAAAAAAATGACGACCTAAAGAGCCCATAGTTGATGGCTTTATAATAACAATGTTCACCAATACAGTATTTTTTTAATTTATCATAGAGGAACATACAGAACACAACCGTTAACTATATTTTAAAATTCTTCCATGTAATATATGCACTAATTTTCTTCACAACCTGATTTAGATAAGGCAGTCTTAAAGTGAAATGACTTGATTACCAATAAGGAAAAACGGTCTTTACCAAAGTTGGTTTCAATATTCTGAAATGTTTGCCCTTGAGTCTTATTTACATTGACTGAATAAGATACCTTTTTTAGGGAAAACGGTCTAGATTATTATTGTAGATTAAGATAATGATACATGGATTATATATATTTTACAATAGAGATATATTATATTATAGAAAGATCGAAAATTATATATTTAGGTTTATGGGGGATGTTTTTTTTCCTTTAGATTGAACAGTAGTTGAAAATCGAAAAACAAAATAAAAAAAACCAACCAACCCGTGTCTATGAGTAATAGAAAAATAATTCTGATACCATCATGACCACAATTAAATTTGGTTAAAGATTAATACTTATAAATTATATTATTATTCATGTAGAAGAAAAAAATGTACGGAACTCCAACAAATATACTGCCTCCCAAATTTGTAAGGAGTCAGTTGAGGCGGCTGGGGCACATTGGGAGAATGCCGGCGGACAGAATCCCAAAAAAAGTTATTATGAGGAAAGCCAGGAGGTAGAGGAAGCATGGGATGTCCTTGGAAAAAGTGGCCTAGAACAGGTCTTCCGTAATCTAGGAATAAGACAATGGCGAAAAAAGATTGAATAGAGAGCAGTGGCGAAAAATAGTGGAGGAGGCTCTTGCAGGGCTGTAGCGCCATGGAGTAGGTAGGTAGGTAGAGGAAAAAAATTAAAGATAACCTAAAAATTAATATCAAATTTTTCTCATATTTATAAGATAATAAAAAAATATTTTAGGATTTTTCAAGGAAATATAGGCGTATCAGTTTATTTCGTGTTGTATTTTAAAACTACTATCTATGAAATGTTAAGTTTTAAATATAAAAAATTGCCCATCAAAATCAATGAATCCAAATGCAAGCATGTCACCTTCACGCTCCGAAGCAGATTCTGTCCACATATCCTTTTAATTCTGTACCTCTTTCTATCTCAGACACAGTTCGGTATCTTGGATTCCTTTTAGATAAAAGACTAACATGGAAGCCACATACCAGGCTTAAAATACATAACTTAATCGATGATTTGGCCAGTTATACAGAATACTTAACAGAAAATCTAACCTCTCAACTAAAAACAAACTATCAATATACAAAAGTATACTGAAACCCATCTGGACTTACGGACTTGAACTGTGGAGGACAACTAAATATTCAAACATCAAATGCATATAATCTTTCCAGTCTGAAATCCTCCGTGTAATAGTCAATGTTCCTTATTATGTTACGAACAAAACCTTACATCATGACCTTCATGTCGTTGATGTTATGCCGATATGTCGTTGACGTTATTCCATCCCGATTCTCAAATTTTCTACTGAACCTAATCCGTCATCCTGATTCCTTAGCACAATCCTTATCCAGTTTCATTCATCCCAACAACCCTCCTAGAAGGTAGTGGCCTCAAGACTTTTATAAATACGTCACTGGAGTCCTGGAAATGGCCGCTTCTCCAGACAAGTCATGAGTGTATGTGGCTTTAGCGTACTCTCTAAGTCTCCACTGGATTCCCATCCCAGAGATGCGGCTGATAGAGAGGCGCTGAGATCTCTTGGAGTCTTGCTTTTTCTTCCACACGTGTGGGAAAAGGCCCAACTGTAAATATGGTAAATAAGAATGAATGTGTTTTTAATTTAATTTTTTTTAAACATATTTAATGTTGTCTAATGTTTGATTTATTCTGTTTATTTATTCCAAGCTTTCTTTTCTTTTCTTTTGTTATAACTTTCTATTGTTTTTATTTTATTGTATATATGGTATGATTGTTTCATGCATTTCAAATACTCAATGCTCTTAATTGAAGGAAAATGTATTTTTTTCTCAATAAAAAAATGTATATATAAAAATAAGTAAATAAAAACTTTTGATTAGATGAAAATATAGCCTTATCTTTTTTTTTTTAATAACTATTATTTGGTAAAGACAAATCCTAAAAATTTAGGTACCTGTAAAGGTTTGAGTAAAGTCGTGTTGAGGCTGTTATTTCTACCTTTGCAAAAATACACTTATTTCGCACTTGTTCTTCCCTTCTGTATTATAAGGTCGCCGGAGATGGTCTTTTTAAGATCAACGAGAGCCAAATATTGGGCATGACATTTAGTCTGTGAGGGAATAAGACAACGAAGATTTCGGAAGGCATCCTACAATCACAAAATGCTAAATTTCCTAGCACAATGGCAATTTTGTTTTGTTATTTGAATAATAATGAAAGATTTAATGTTTTCTTTAGATCGACCCTCTATCTAATAAACTGTTTGCGATTGAGGGTTGTTTTTCTGTATAGGTTTCAACACTTATTAATGTCAATACATGTTTGTCTCATAATTTTGTTTTAAGAGTTTAAACTAGGTTTGAACGGGGAAAAAGATGGTCGTGGAAGGACTTCTTCAATTGTTCGTAATGTCTCCCAAGCTTTTGTGGATACGATTCCCAGAACAACTTGAAACAGAGAAATTTTATAGAAACGCTAAATTAGCAAATTGGCCATCGCTGACCACCTCTACAAAATTGGAAAGATGAAACATTAATGATCATCCTCATCAAGCGAAAAAGTCTTTGGTTTCAAGGCTAAAGTCCCAACTCGAATTGTTTTTAAAATATCGTTGAACGATTCACTCACTCAAAATGCCATCACCCCAGATTTGATTAATGGGGTGATGGCATCTTAGTAAAGTTTGAATGATTACCAACTTGTGAAACTCTGCAGAAGATTTTTAAGAACATTTTGTTGAGAAAAGCGTTAAGACCTGCAGAAAAATTAAACCTTCAAACGCAAATATGTACTGATTAAAGTAATAACTAGGTACTGTGGAAGTAAAAATGTCAATCAGCTGATTTTGCAAAGTTACACTGAACTTAATGTCACTGACAGGCTCTAGAAGGCATCGAGACATTGGTGGCATGATGCGTTAAGGCTGAACTTATGGAATATTGGTTGTATCATCGTCGAATCTCAGGGTTCGCTTTATCCTTTAATATAAATATTATAATACTAATTAAAGGTGTTAATAATAAATAAAAGTAAATTATAATAAGCCATATCTAATTATAATAAGCCACTATCTAAACTATCAGCAATTTTCAATCACATGCGAACCCTAGAGGTACGCAGCGAACTAGGCTCAAGAGAGAGATAGAGAGAGGAGTACAACGAACGTATCCCGAAGCAGGATCATAAAGAAGCCCTAACCGGACCGGGAGCAGGGGAGGCAATTAGGAGTCGTTCAATAAGATGGGCTCTAATGATCCTAGGATCGATTCTTGCTATAGATTAACATCTGCTCTGGGCTACTGTCCACAGCCTCCGAGAGGTTTCACTAACATGCTCCCGATTAAGATGGCCGCTGCGACTATTGCCTTAGAGAGGGACAAGATTGATAGTATTGCTACCTTAAACTGTTTCACAATAGTCAGGCCGACCAGAAGCATTTTACTCGAGGCTTTTGTGAGGTTAATTAAGAAGAGGTAAGTAACTTGCAACTATTCTAGGATATATGTTGTCTTAGAAAACAAATTCCATTAACTCGTTCGGCGCCTAGTTTTAATCAATCGAGTTTTATAGCTAAAAAAAGTCTAAAAATTTCAATATTATGGAAAATTAAATATCATTTTTGAATGTCTGAGAATGTACCACATATATGATATCATATTTTTACTTTCACTTACCTATATATGTAATATATAGTAAGGGAAAGTATTGAGATCGTGAAAATTTTCGAATCTGTGTTTTCAACGGAAATACAAATTTTGAGATCCCCTGAGTCGAAATAGCCAAGTCCCACAAAATGGTCTGTGTGTATGAACAGACTAGCTCAAAAACAAAAAGTCATAAGAAACTGATATTACTTATTAGGTATATGGCTGAGATGTTACGGCAACATTTTCCTGGATTTTTTAAAACATTATATCCTTGTATATTGATAAATATTACAATCTGTCCACCCCTAAAGAATCATAAATAAATAAGATAAAAAAAATATAATATACAATGAAATAAAAATAAAATATCATAAAGAGAGAAGAGAATAATAATAAAAAATAAATAAAAATAAAATGTTCTTAAAAAATGAAATAACATCTTAGACGCTGACTATTTACATGTTTGGATTGAAACATCAGCATTAATAAAAACCTTAAAAATGACTGCGTCCTGACTATTTATTACCCATGGTATGTACAATAGTCGAATAGCTTCCTTCAATAAAAGGCTAGATATACACAATGAAAGTATTTGACAATTGATTAAAAAGAGAAAAGGAAAAATGTTTTTTTAGGTCGGAAAATAATTTCCGGAAATAATAGTCATATGGTATGCATATATCGTTGAAAAGCTAAGAATTTTAGAAAAAAAAAACAATATCTAAAATACAAAGTCGTAGGAGATAATGAAAAGTGACAAAAAAGTTAAAAATATTAATTCCTGAAAACTAATATTATTTAATGGATACTACATGTTTCCTAGAAAATAAATTAAAATTTCCTAACTAAATATAAACTTCTAAAATTATTTTTAATTTTGAAAAATAAGTTTATAAAATCCACCAAATCAAGCTGACGACATTGTTCAAAAACCTATTTCATTGTATTAGTGAAAAAGAAGAAGTAAAGTATAAAAATATTGCATGGATAAGTAAAACACATGTTTATAACCTTTAATAAATTTACTATAATTTAATATCTCTAGCTATACCAGACTGAAACAACAAGAAACGGCTCGACGTTTCCGATTGCTTCACCACTTACTAGAAAAACGCTCTAAACTTCAAATTAATTACAAAAGACTCATCTACATTACGATAATAAGGCCTATTCGGACTTACGGAGTTGAGCTACGGGGCTTTTCTAAATTCCATGGTTTTAGAAGAAAACAGCAAGAGACTTCAGCAATTACAAAATGGAATTTTAAAAAGAATTGCTTTACCAAGGACTCCAGCTGGACAAACGTCTAAATAGGAATCCTCATACCAGACTGAAACGATAAGAAACAGCTCGACGTTTCCGACTACTTCAACACTTACTAGACAAACGCTCTAACTTTCCAATTAATTACAAAAGACTCATTTACATGACTATAATAAGGCCTATTCGGACTTATGGGGCTCAGCTATGGGGGGCTCGACCAAACCATCTAATTTCTCTCGTATCCAATCCTTACAATCCTTAATAAATCCTTCGTAAAATCCTCAACGCTCCCTACGTGATTTTTTTTTTTGATGTTTATTGTATCCATTCGTTTCTCCTTATATAACCGAATTGACATGGTAATGAATTTATACTGACCTAAAATATTTGCTTGAAAATAAAGATTTCTCTTAATAAATAAATACTCACTCCACACATTGACGTTATATTTATTAAATATGAATTTTGTTGTTCGATAAGTAAATAGAAAATTTAGTTATCAAAAATTTCATTTCAAAATCAAATTTATCTAAGATTTATACCGGAATTTCTCCTTCTGAATTACTGATATGTAAATAAAACCATTTAAACATTTTATGTGACTAATTAAGAATGTTTTTCTGAAAATTATTCTGCTCATAATGGGACGATAATAACATAAGATAATAATGCTAATACATTTAGTGAATTCATCTCATAATTTTTAATTGAGACATTTTTTACCACTTTTCCAAATCATTCGCAAATCTCGCATTAGTTTTCCTAGATGAAAACAAAACAAGGAAATCTCTACTTGAAAACGTATACTATTAGATTGCTAATTAAATCAGTCAAGATAATCATAAGTTTAAATTAGCAATTAATTCACTGTGTTTATTCTGGTTTAACAACCTTATTAAGACGATAATATTAGATGAAAACAGTTGTTGATTAATTAACCCTGCGTATTGCTCAATTCGGAGTTTAATTGTGTATTTGTTATTCAATTAGTTTAAATTAATATGTTTCGTCAGCTAATGATGTTGTTCATATGATGATATTGTTGTTAACGTTTCAGCTTCATGTAAAACAATACTAACTGTATATATAATTATCAATATCGATGCCGAGTAAAAGTCGGATGTTAAATAGTTTAAATAACAAAATAGCTGACCTGCACAACGTTGCACTTTCGTTACTTTAACATGGTGCTGACGATACATAGTTACCTGAAAATTCCCATTAACGATTACCCTCTTCCAAAGATTCGGAAAATCTATAATATATACCCTCCCTCCACCCGTCCAATAAACGCTGTCTTATAGTCCGAAGAAATATAAAAGTTTTTTTGAGCTTTTTTTTTTGTAATGTAGCATTTCCCTTGAAAAACATTTTGGAGTGAATGTAAAAATAGATTACCTGAGGTGAGGATGTCTGGTAAATAAGGTGTGTAAGGTAAAACCTCCTGTTCGATGCCTAATAATTGCTGCCGTGTCCTTAAAAAGATATGACGCGTCATGTTGAAAACTACACCTTTCCTAATAATGAACTCTGGATGTTTTTCCCCAATTTCCTGCTTTAGTCATATATAATTGGGCGCAATAAACTTCGTTGTTCATGATTATATTTCATGAGAAAAGATAAAAGTTTACCTTCCAGTCTTCAACAAACGAAAGAACAATTTTCGTTGGATGCAATCCGGACTTTGATATCCCTAGCGGTCCCATTGAAGGCAATCTCCATGATTTTTTTCTGACTAGTGTTCTCGTATATAATTTGTCGTTGCTAGACAAGATTCACTTTAAAAAGGGATCCTCTATAACTTTTTCAGTAAAAAATCGCCCTACGAAAAATTAATTTTCAAGAAATCGCTTAAAAATGTAGAAATTCGTTCCGTGAGGTTCTTTTTGCTGACTTCATGGGGAATGCAAACATCGTAACGACAAGCTTACTCAGGGAGTAGGCCTTATTCAGACGGTGACAAAAATGGTTGATTTTCAAGAATTTAATTAGGTATTAAAGCAACTAAATCATTTTCATACCCTGCGCGAATCTTATTTTCAGTTTGGGCTATATTTTTTTCCTTTTTCAAAAAAAGCAAAACAACAACAACATAATATAGCGAAAATAGACTTTATTGTAGCTCATCCTCTGTTTCGCTAGCTGTACGTACTGTGCCGCAAAAAAGACAAATTAGCTATTAAAACACAGATAATACATTCAGAATAGAGAAACAAACATAAGCTATCTGATTCTTTATAGGTTGAAATAATAATAATAACACATATTCACACTTAAGTGTATGCCTTAAGGTCAATTGTCCGGCTACCTTATAGCCAAGTTTTGAGATAAACAAGTATTTACTATTAATTAAATTAATAATAATTAATTATTTCAAATCCAGGTAATCTATGGGATTTTAAACTCGGCATAATTCTTTCGTCCGGGGCAAAAAAAAAACCAAAAAAAAAAACCGTGTAGCCTAAAAGGTAATAAAGGGAAGACAAAAAAAATAAATTCTGAGAATTTAAGTATCCCTCTTCAGCAATATTTTACTATCCCGAAAAAAATTGGTACAATGTCTGATTCTCAAAATTTAAAAAAATATATTTCTTTTTTAAAAATATCTTGGAACTTTCCGGATAACATTACACTATAGTGGGGTGAATACTACGTTCTATTCAAAACCTTTCAGAAAAATTAATGTTAATGTAATTATTAATTTGACTCAAGACATTTTAATACTTTAGAATATATTTGGCATAATCGACCATTAATTATTAAACTCAATTATTAATGTCACAATTAACTAATTTAATTTACTTATATCGAATCCTGATCAATTGTCCAATCTCCAAAATTCTTGTCACATAATTTATAGTCTCATTAGTTCCATCAATATACAATGTAAGAGCTCAAACTGAAGACAGAATAAAAGGAATTTCTCAAGATGAAGATTGAGTAGAATGAGAGATAAAAGAAGTAAAATGAAAGGACAATTTGAGCCGGCGAGGTGTGAGTGGCAGGAGAAAGATTTACAACAGCTGAGCTGTAGAATAATGGCCGCCTCACCTCCAGACCGTATTAATTAGGGCTACACGGCATCCCTCCTCCTGTAATAACAATTAAAAGTAATTAAATTTAAATTAAATCGTGACGGAGGACAATATAATTGGGTCACATTAGGAAACGTCACTGTGCGGAGGGTCCACTCCACTGGTTCCTAGATAAGCTTCATGCCTATCAAGATGTTGAAGCAAGTCAAATTAGCTTAAAAGAAAACGATAAAGAAAGTATAAATACATTATTCAGTAAGAAAATATAGTAGTATCTAACGAGTATTAATTTTGACAGACATCTAAAATTTACCGCTCATTGCACTTCAAAGCTATCTCAAGTAAGACAAAAATCCTAAAAACTTTGTCACCACCACACAACCTCAATCCTCAGCCTCAAATTAAAATTACTCCTTTACAAAAGTATTCTTTGCCCTTCTCTTCTCTATGGTGCTCCTCTATTGTCCCACATTTCAGAAAACAGCAAGAGACTTTAGCAATTCCAAAATGGAATTTTAAAAAGAATTGCTTTACCTAGGACATTCTCATACCAGACTGAAACGACAAGAAACAGCTCGACGTTTCCCACTACT